ATTTAAACTGAATAACACAAAATATAAGCAGAACAGGAGTTTCCTCTCACCAGAGCAGCCGGCGTTGCAGGACCGGTCGGCCTCCCCAGGACTGCACACACCTGACAAAACACAACATCACAGCAGGACAGCCATTGCGGACAGCAATAACAAACCATCGGAACCTTAATGAGAGCCATCGACTTGCCCTCAGTCTTTTTCTCTATCTGTGTTTGCATAATGTGGGAATTTTTTCTTGTGACCAAATTTTTATTAGAGATTTTTTTTAAATAAAAAACAAGACGGAACAGAACAGAACAAACGCCCCCGACCATAATGTGGGAAATTAATACCTATGGATCTTTATTAGGGACAGTAAAATTATTATTATTATTATTCTATAATTCTACATTTTGTGACCTGGAACAGGACAAACGCTTACAGAAGATTGATGGATGGACAGATTATTGTTATTAATTTTGGATTTGTTGGTCTTTGTAGATGTAGATTTTTAATATATACATTCACAATCACTATCTTAGGAAAATACTTAAACAGCAAATGTCATGTAAATGGTAATTTGACATAGAATTGCTCCGCTGTACTTGATGCACTGGTCTGTGAGCAGTGTTATGCCAAACATGCCTATTTATTCAGGTTTTTTAAGCAAGACAGTAAGTGATCCGCAGAGACACAGCAAACGCAACGTGACAGGTACTCACCACTGAGGATACTGCTCAAGAAGGAGAGAAGTAGAAGTCCCATCAGTGACATAGCTATGGGAGTGTGGAGGCAGCTGTACCTTCGGTCTGCAGCTCCACATGAAAGCAGGCAGGGGAACAAGCGCCAATGGAAGCAGTGACTTGTGAATGGGCCTGCCTGTCTGCCACACCGACCTGAATCCAGCATGCTGCATGGGCCTCACCGGCCAATCAGGGGGCTCGGGAGCACCGAGGGAGCGGGTCAGCTGACCGAACAGTGAAGCTTCATCTGTGCCAATCAGGAGGCCCCTTAACCAGCATGAAAATGATTCTCAGTGTACTTTAAAGTGAAGTTTAAAGGGGATCTGCTTGATTCTTTCATGTTATTAAGAGACCCCCAACTTTGAAATGTACAAATCCTATAGCTTTGCATACAGATCATAAGGGAAATGTTTAATTTGAAGCATTTAATTAACTGTTATAATCATCATGTCATGACAGATAATGGCAATACCTACGCTGACTGTCACAACCCAGAATAAAATAAAACTGGTTACTGGTTATGTGCTAAAATGGGTGATTCAGATGAAGTGTAGCCACACACACAGAGTTGCCAACTTTGGTCAGCTGGCTGGCTGGAGTGAGATTGTCTATTTGAGACCAGGCTGCACACGCATTTACATGTATGTAATAGTTTTATTACCTTATAAATAATCTATAGGGTTTGCAAACTACTCCAATATTTTTGATGTAGCTAATTTTAGGTTAATAATGGAATAATGTAGATTTGCTGTACGATTTTGTGAGTGAAAGTCTGAAAGCATGAGCGACATGCCAGATGCGTGAACGTTGGCAGCCCTGCATACAGCAATCAGTACCCGCTGTCACTCTCATCAGGACGCCATGCTTATCTGATATGGCTTTTGGTGATTCAGGGGAGTGCTGACACACTCAATTTACAAAATTACTGGCAGGGAAAAATAAACTTCAGCCAACTCTTACTGCACAACAAAAGGTACGTCACATAAGATTGTATCCAGGCTGACGAACATGACATTCAAGCAGAAATGTATTTTTATTGTTCTGTGTGTGTGTGTGTGTATATATATAGCTTAAATATATTACATATAAAATCTAAATACTCCATTTGCTTTTAGTGATGAAATAACCTCATACCACTTACCTGGAAATGAAGCATTATTACTTTATCAGTAACCAGTAAAAGTTACCTGAAATCTTCTGATGAAGTTGTTATGATCATTAGCAGCTGGGCTAAATATGAATATTGTTAGCAAAAGCAAATATTTATGTGAACGTTACCTTAAAAAGTGACGAATCAGAGTAGGACGGTGATTATGAGCTGTAGAAAAAGGTCTATATGCATAGTGCACTGACTACCTGCCAGAAAGTCAGGATTAATAGAGTGAAAATGCATCATTTTAACCACTATTGATGGTGACTCAAGGATTCTATTAGTTTGTGTTACAGATCATTCAAATGTAAAATTAGCCTGAATTAATAAAGTCGTATTAATATCGGTCACTTGGCGGGATAGTAAGATCTTTGTGGATGGCCCAGTGGTGTTACTGGAAAGGATGCTGGATGCTTCAAAAGCAAAATGATGGTTCTTTATGTTGTATTTACATACATTGGACTCAACTGACATATACAGTATGTCTGCAGAATGACCCCAATAATTAATCATAAACAGGACATACTATTCATATTATCATGCAAGTATCTTCTAACCACTTTTACTGGTCAAGTCTGGACCTTTTCTCTGGACACCAGGGTGGGGTAAACACTGCATGGGATGCCAGTGCAATGGTGAGCACATACATGCACACTACAGGCAATTTCACGATGCTAATCAGCCTAACTGTATGTTAGTGTTTCTCAACCCGGTCCTCTGGGACCCTCAGCCAGTCCATGTTTTTGCTCCCTGCCAGACAGTCCACGCTGTGAGCTGGGAGGGAGCAAAAACCAGACTGTCTGGGAGTCCCTGATGACTGGTTTGAGAAACACTGTATGTCATTCAACTGCATGAGGCAACCCATTTGACTCATGGAGAACATATCAACTCCGTACACAAGTTGCGGAGATAGGATTCAAACCCCCAAAGCTGAAATTGTGAGGAGACAGTGCTACACACCGAGTTACCCTACCAGTACACACACACACACACAAGCACATGTAGGGTAAACATATCCTTATGGGGACCGCTCATTCATTTCAATGGGAAAAATGCTAACGCTAACTATGACAACCTTAACCCCAGGAAACCGGTCCCCATAAGGGAAAAAAAACGGATATTTATCACGTTATGGGGACATTATGTCCCCATAAGGATAGGTAAACCCGCTCACACACACACACACACACACACTGTTGTGCCGAATGGGATAAAGGACTCGAGGGCAGGTGTGGCCGCAAAACAAAGAGGGGTTTTATTAAACTCACAAAAAATGAAACATGAAGTAAATAAACCAGACTGCGAAGGATCAAAACAAGAGGGGTGGAGGAAGGCAGGGCACAGGCAGCATGAGGGTTACGACGTCAATGTACCGGACCAGCGAGGACGAGACGAACAGGCACTTAAATACACAGATTAACATGGGGCAACAAGCTTCAGGTGTGACCTATTATGGGCACGTGAGGGAGGAGACAGAGCGGTCAGACGGACAGTGCAGGCAGCACGTGTCATTACTCTCAACTAGTCAGGAATATCACTGATTAAGAAGATTTGACCAAGAGACCAGATTCTATTACTCTCTCCTCAGATTGAAATTTGACTGGCAGAAAATGCACCTTCGGTCACAAAAAAAAGAAAAAGTTTCTTCATATTTTAGTATTTTTTTTGCCTGACTCTACAGGCGACTACAGAGAGTTGGCTTTCAGGACCAGGAAAAGCCACTGAACAGATATTTATTCAAGCACAGTTACAGGAAACATTTCTGTTCACAGAAAAAAAAACACGAGGGAAAAAGTGCATGTAACTTAAACAAGAAAAAAATGTATCTGAGTGCCGAGTGCAAAGAGACTCAGAGAAAAGGCTGAAGTCAATCGGCACAGGGGCCCAAAGACGCTCAGACCAAGATTGTAGGCACCTCTCTGGAGTCACGGGCCCCAGCCACAAAACTGCCACCCAGCTACACCCACAAAACCAAAGCCAGTGGGAAAGGGGTGACATCAATAACTATCACTCAGTATAACACAGAAGGTGTGAGAATCAAAGGAATGGAGGCAAAAAGGTTCAAACGAGTAAAATGTGTAATGTTGGCACGGAGGAATGAAAATCCATAACTTCACCTGACCATATCGATGTTAAAAAAACGGTGCAGCGGGCGGCATATTCTTCCAAAAGATCTCTTATAGTTGCACCTGACTGAAAGACATTCTTGCGTTTACCTTATTTTGCCAACAACTGTAAACGGCACTGAATCAAAAAAAAATTCGAATAATAATCACCAGATGGCGCTGACGGCTGTATTCATCCTCAACTTTCATGGTCCTCCAACGTAAATTGCATTACATTCAACAACACCCAGTTGTACGATCATATAAATCTGCATGCGTTCACATATTAAGATAATGTACCAATACTTAGTTGAATCAGATAATACTATTCCTATATTGTTATTAATAATGTTATAGCTATCATTGTTTCAGTAAATCACATTCTTTTGGATCAATTTGAAAAGATTGACTATCTGCAGTGGAACCTAACAGTTAAATTTGAAGGAAAAAAAATATAAACCTCAGGAGACTTTTAGCAGTTTTACATTTTAATTGTTATTATATTAGTTAAAAAATAATAATAACTGCCAAGTTAAACGTGGGATTAGTGCAGTTCTTGTAGTACTGTAATAATCGTCGGAAACAAAATTTGTTCCATTTCTCTGGCTTGAAAAGCTGAGATTCCCGTCGAAACCACGTTTTAAGCACGTTACAGAAAAACGGTAAATACAAAGCAGACCTGTTTAATGACGTTTTGCAAAAGTGTTCAGCCTTATCTGTCCAGAACATTCTGAAATACTTGCGTGTATTTTATCTTCTGGGGGAATGGCATGCGGCCAGCCCCGTCGCTCCGTTTTATCGTCCCCCCCCCGGAGAAAGTCTCCAGGGCGTGCCTCCACCTGCTCGGTCACGCCACGTAACATGAGACGGCAGCGGCGCGCGCTTGACGGCGTGAGACATCGCACACGTTAGCCATTAATTAATCACCCTGGAGAGACGCTCGGGGCGAGGGGGTGCTTACCTGTCTTTTGGCTCTCTCTAAAGAAAAGGAGAACTTAACGGAAAAGGACCACAACTCTCAGGTTGGTTTAAAAATATATGTATATTTGAGGAACCCATTTTGGCAACAGAATGCCCACTGGTACTGAGGCTGGTGATGACGTCAGGTTCGCCAAAAGGGGGCAGACAGGCCAGCTGTCTGCCGGTGGTGGCCTCTGTCACCCCCACCTCAGCCCAAGTAGGGTGGGGGTCAGTTCCTGCTGAAGCGCTTTCAAACACCACTGAAATTACTAAGCTGGTGGACAGGTCCTCCAGATGTGGACCTGGGCCCAGTGATCGTCCATGGATCGTCCTTTGGTCTTCCCTGGGATGTCCTCTGGAGTCTGTAGGCCAAACCCTTATGTGTCCTTGTACCTGGAAATAATGAAGAGGTGGCCAGGTCACAGAGGATGCCCCACACATACTGTATCTGGCTGAAATACAATAAGATTGAATGCAGGAAAAATGCAAAATATGAATTTTACTGATGGCGATAAAGATACCAGAGAAGGGTTCATGTCGGTTCACGTTACACACATGACAGATGAAATTAACACCGCTTCCGCATGCAAATATACCCCCCAGGGCGTAGTGCGTCACCACAACCTCTAACTGTTCTCTTGTCGGTTGCATTTTCAAACTTGTTCAGGTGACGGGACCAAATATGTGTACGTTAGGGAAAATGAGGAGTGAGGAGCAGAAGGAGGTCACGTGACAAAAGGCAGCCGTTATGGAGCACGCCCTATTGCATGCTTTTCTTTAAATGATTTTCAACAATCGGTTGGAGGAATGAACTGCTCGCTACGGAGGAGGGGTGTGTTGACATTCAGACATCTCTGGGTGGGGGTAGAGGCAGTGTTGTAATTATATACAACCTAGTTTCCAAAGAATTTGGGACGTTGTGTAAAATGTAAACAAAAATAGAATGCAATGATTTGCAAATCATATAAACCCATGTTTAATTGAAAATAGAA